GGATTCCCCACCCCCGCCCCCATTTGGCCACCCTAGCCTAAAGAACAGCAAGTTCTGCAAGAACAACCAAAACGAACACCGCGAGCTGGCTGCGAGCTGAGAACTGAATTATGGCTGCTACCGTTTATGGACAACAACGATTACCAACGGTTACTAGCACTTTATTATGGTTTTACAGTTGTTTTAATCGTAATCTATGCTTTTAATGTCATTATCTGTTTTATGTAAGCCGCTCTGAGCGGGATAGAAGTTCAATAAATAAATAAATAAATAAAAATTTGAAAAGGAGGGGTTTTTTATACCCTGCTTTTCTCTACCCTAAGGGGTCTCAAAGCGGCTTACGATCGCCTTCCCTTCCTCTGCCCACAACAGGCCCCTTGTGAGGTAGGTGGGGCTGAGAGAGTCCTGAGAGAACTGTGGCCGGCCCAAGGTCACCCAGCAGGCTTCCTGTGGAAGACTGGGGAATCGAACCTGGTTCTCCACATCAGAGTCCACAGCTCTTCACTACTACACCACGCTGGCTCTCACTCGGGACTTTCTGCCACCAAACCATTGCAGCTGCAAGACTTTACTCTGATCAAACAAAATCTCCCATTCTTTCCTCAGTTGTCACTCCACGCCAGCAGCTGGGAGACCCAGCACAGTTTCGGCACAAACACCCGACTCCCATGCAAGAGCCACAACAGCCTTTCCCTCGCTTTGATGACGGATCAAGGGAACTGTGATTCCAGCCGCCAGCCATTTCTTGGAGAGGAAGTTAATTCCTCTTTGAACCATTTTATTACAAAAGAGAGAGAGAGAGTCCTTTTAAATAGTCATTGGTAATAAGATTTGTTTTCTGCTGAAGTGCTAAAAGAATGAGAGAGAGAGAAAGAGAGAGAGAGCGCCGATCCTCCCCCGAGGCTCTCGGGAGCCTGCTTTGAAACGCTAATAAATTGCATGTCAAACCATATCAGAGGTGATTGGGATCATTTAGGATAGTTATGTGTTCAAATGAAAAAGATATTTATTACATTATTTCTAAAAGCAACTTAAAATACAAAGTCTCCCCCCTCTCCTGCGCAAAGCTTGGTTATGTTCAGCTCTGGGTTCCCCACCCCCACCCCCATAGACAACGTCCAGGAATGGGACCCACACCACCTTGTCCTGCAGGTGATTTGGACTCTGGATCTCAGATCGCAACCTAAAGCATCTTGTAGTGTGAGGTCGGAAACAAATTCTAGGATGTGGACAGTCCTATTCCTCGTTGGAGCCAGGCTCATCCATCTTTGACCATGTCTCTTGTCCAGAGAAGCAGATAGGAGACTTCTCTTCCATAGCATTACAACTCAGGGGCACCTAATGTAACTAACCGGCAGTAGATTCAAAAGGACGGTTGTAACGATTTCATGTTTATTTGTGTGTGTGTCTTTAAAAGTTTGGTTTACATTGCTGTGTGAAAGTCTAGTGTGGTTGAAACAGGCAAGTGGTGTGATTGGTGAGTGACAGAGAGGGGGAGGGGTTTTGGAATGGACGCTGTGTGGATGATTGGAATGTCTATCAGGGGTGACTGTTGGAGATATGACAGTTGATGCAGACAGTGGAAGTTTGTTAAGCAGTTTTGTCCTGAGGTCTCTGTGAGAGAAGTTTTCCTGTGTGGAATATAAGAGTAAAAGTCTCTGTGTTAAGCAGACGGTTAAGTTCTGTGTAAGAGAGGAGAGACCCATCCCTGTGTGGGACGAGTTAGTTCATTATATGAAAGAGTGTTACGTTATATGCCTAAATCCCTGAGAGAGAACTGAAAGTGCTGAGCCATGACAGTGTGAGAGAGAAAGGAGCTTATATCTGTAAAGTGAATCTACAGTTCTTAAAGAGAGTCAAAGTTACAAAGAGTGTGATACAGTTGACAAGTACTTACAAATACCTATTTCTTATTTCCAAAACAGTTACAGTTTAAACAACTTCTTACTTTGTTCTTCAAATAAATCCTTTTTATTTAAGTTTACCCCAGAAGCCTGATCCATTTTTCCTCAGGAAACACATAGTACCTCGAACGCCTAAAACCCTCGACATACCTACCCAGATATAGAGAAAGCATAAAGGTTTGGAAATCCTTTTAAAATTTCCTGGTGGCAGCCAGATTACCCAAAGTAAAATAAAGCATAAGAACACTTTTAAAGCAAACCCACACCTCCTAAGAGAAGAGGTCGTCACAACGGTCTTCGTCACTTAACACATCAGTGACTTGTGGATCTCACCGCCAGAGGATGTAGCAGTGGCCACCAGCTTAGATGGCTTTGAAAGGGAAGTACACGGCTTCATGGAGGATATGTCCATCAGTGGCTATTATCTGCGATGCCTCAGTGGGATCTCTACTGTTGCTGGAGGGGAAACAAGTGTAGGTTTGGCCTCTAGGCCTAATTGTGGGCTCTCTGGGTCATCTCACTGGCCACTGTCTGAAATGGGATGTGGGACTAGGTATACTCCTGGTCTGACCTAGCAGTGCATCTCTTATATTCGTATGAAGAGGGGTCATTTCGTAGAAAAAGAGGTGCAGGAGCTCATTAGCATAACTCATTAGCATAACATTTGCATATGCCACACCCCCTGACATCACCGGAAGTGTGTCAGAAGG